TGTCGTGAAGACATAGTTTTCCTGATCATTGGCTAGTGGTGTGTTTGTGTCTGTTGCCTGCTCTGATTGTCAGAGAAGGTGGAAGGATACATTTCTGATATAGAGAGGCTCCAGCTAGTCAGTAAAGTTAGGAGCTCCCTCAGGTCCTAATCATGATTTGGTTTGGAAGGAATGTGGAAAAGATGAGAAAAATTTGGCCTGATAGATGCTGCCTAAGCAGGTGCAACTTCACTTGCTTATACCAGGGATGAACAGAAAACTCAAATTTCAGGCTGAGATTCTGTCCGTTCATCTTCGGACACATTCCCCTTCCCTCCCCCCCAAGGCCTGACAACTTCATGGTAGTGTACGTCTGACCCTTCCAGATATGTCAGGGTCCCAGGGTAAAAGGCCAATATCAGCTCCAAAATAGACTAAAAGGCCAGAAGGAAACATTGTGATAATGTAGTCTGACTTCCTATACAACACAGGCCATAGGTTCTCCTCTGAATTAATTCCCATTTGAACTAGATCATATCCTTTAGAAAAAAATCTAATCTTGATTAAAAATTTCCAGTCATGGAGAATCCATTACATCCCACAGTAAATTTATTCCAATAGTTAATTGCCATCACTATAATTTTTTTTGCCTTATTTCTAGTCTGAATTTGTCTAGTTTCAACTTTCAGCCATTGGATCATATTATACTTTTGTCTGCTAAACTGAAGAACCCTGTATTTCTGTTCCCTGTGTAGGTACTTAATCAAGTCACCCCTTAGCCTTCTCTTTGTTAAGCTAAGTAGATTGAGCTCCTTGAGTCTCTCTCTATAAGGCATGTTTTTTCATGGCTTTTCTCTGAGCCCTCTCCCATTTTTTAACATCCTTCTTAGAGTGTGGACACCAGAACTAGACATAGTATTCCAGTAGCGGTTGCATCAGTGTCCTATTTATATATTCAAGGATTGCATTAGCCTCTTGGTCACAGCACTGCACTGGGAGCGCACGTTCAGCTGATTATCCACCATGACGGCCAAATCTTTTTCAGAGTTGCTGCCTCCCAGGACAGAGTTCCTCATCTGGTAAGTATGGATTACCTTTTCCCCCAGATGTAGGACTTGACGTTTGGCTGCACTGACACACACATTGTTTGCTTCAGTCCAGCTTACCCAGCAACCCAGATTACTTTATCAATGACTTGTTCTCTTCATTATCTACCAATCCACCAAACTTTATGATTTGATGTTTTCTGTCACGTCACTGATAACGTTAAGTGAGTGTAGGGCCAAGAATCAATTCCTGTGGGACCCTAGTAGAAACACATCCACTTGATGATTCCCTGATCATTATTACATTTTTGAGACCAATAAATTAACCAGGTTTTAATCCATTTAATATGTGCCATGTTGATTTTCTATCATTCTACTTTTAGTCAAAATGTTTTGCAATACCAAGTCAAATGACTTACAGAACTCTAAGTATATTAATTACATCATCACTATTGCCTTTATCAATGACATTTATAATCTCAAAAAAAAAGATATCAAGTTAGTTTGACAGGATCTATTTTCCATCCACCTATGCTGATTGGCATTTATTATATTACCCCCTTTTAATTCTTTATTAATCGAGTACTCTATCAGCCATACCATTATTTTGCCTCAGATTGATATTAAGCTGATGAGCATATAATTATCCAGGTCACTCTGCTCACCCTTTCAAAATACTGGCACAACATTAGCTTTCTTCCAGGTCTCTGGAACTTCCCCAGTGTTCCAAGCCTTATTGAAAATCAATATTAATAGACCAGACAGCTCCTTGGCCAGCTCTTTTAAAAAACTGTTGGATGCCATTTATCTGTGTCTGCTGATTTTAAAAAGTCTAACTTTAGTAGCGGCTGTTTAACATCCTCCTGACATTCCGTTGGAATGGAAACTATTTTATCATCATATAATATGAACATATCATGTGTAGGGCGGTCAAGCGATTAAAAAAAATTAATCGTGATTAATCATGCGATTAATCGCACAGTTAAACAATAATAGAATACCATTTATTTAAATATTTTTGGATGTTTTCTACATTTTCAAATATATTGATTTCAATTACAACACAGGATACAAAGTGTACAGTGCTCATTTTATATTTATTTTTGATTACAAATATTTGCACTGTAAAAAAACAAGAGAAATAGTATTTTTCAATTCACCTAATACAAGTACTGTAGTGTAATCTCTTTAACATGAAAGTTGAACTTACAAGTGTAGAATTATGTACAAAAAATCCTGCATTCAAAAATAAAACAATGTAACACTTTACAGCCTATAAGTCCAATCAGTCCTACTTCTTGTTCAGCCAATTGCTCAGACAAACAAGTTTGTTTACATTTGCAGAAGATAATGATGCCTGCTTCTTGTTTACAATGTCACCTGAAAGTGAGAACAGGCATTTGCATGGCACTATTATAGCCGGCGTCGCAAGATATTTACATGCCAGATGCGCTAAATAATCATATGTCCCTTGATGCTTCAACCACCATTCCTCAGGATGTGTGTCCATGCTGATGACGGGTTCTGCTCGATAATGATCCAAAGCAGTGCATACGGACGCATTTTCATTTTCATCATCTGAGTCAAATGCCACCAGCAGAAGGTTGATTTTCTTTTTTGGTGGTTCAGGTTCTGTAGTTTCCGCATCAGAGTATCGCTCTTTTAAGACTCCAGAAAGCATGCTCCACATCTCATCCCTCCCAGATTTTGGAAGGCACTTCAGATTCTAAAATCTTGGTTCGAGTGCTGTAGCTATCTTTAGAAATTTCACATTGGTATCTTCTTTGCATTTTGTAAGATTTGTAGTGAAAATGTTCTTAAAATGAACATGTGCTGGGTCATCATCTGAGACCGCTATAACATGAAATATATGACAGAATGTGGGTAAAACAGAGCAGGGGACATACAATTCTCCCCCAAGGAGTTCAGTCACAAATTTAATTAACGCATTTTTTTAACAAGCGTCATCAGCATGGAAGCATGTCCTCTGAAACGATGGCCGAAGGATGAAGAGGCATATGAATCTTTAGTTATCTGGCATATAAATATCTTGCGATGCTGGCTACAACAATGCTATGCAAACAGCAGGTGACATTGTAATTAAGAAGTGTGCAGCATTATCTCTTGTAAATGTAAACAAAGTTGTTTCTCTTAGAGATTGGCTGAACAAGAAGTAGGACTAAGTGGACTTGTAGGCTCTAAAGTTTTACATTGTTTTGTTTTTGAGTGCAGTTATGTAAAAAAACAAACTACATTTGTAAGTTGCAATTTCACGATAAAGAGATTGCACTACAGTACTTGTATTAGGTGAATTGAAAAATACTATTTCTTTTGTTTTTTTACAGTGCAAATATTTGTATTCAAAAATAAATATAAAATGAGCACTGTACACTTTGTATCCTGTGTTGTAACTGAAATCAATATACACCTCTACCCCGATATAACGCTGTCCTCGGGAGCCAAAAAATCTTACTGCGTTATAGGTGAAACCGCGTTATATCGAACTTGCTTTGATCTGCCGGAGTGCGCAGCCCCGCCCCCCTGAGCACTGCTTTACCACGTTATACCCAAATTCGTGTTATATCGGGTCGCGTTATATCGGGGTAGAGGTGTATTTGAAAATATAGAAAACATCCCAAAAATATTTAAATAAATGGTATTCTATTACCATTTAACAGCGCGAGTAATTGCATGATTAATCGCGATTAATTTTTTTTAATCGCTTGACAGCCCTACACATGATATGTTCATATTATATGATGATAAAATAGTTTCCATTCCAACGGAATGTCAGGAGGATGTTAAACAGCAGGTACTAAAGTTATGGGGCTTGGGCTGCAGGACTGTTTCATTGCTGTGTAGATCTCTGGGCTCGGGCTGGAGCCCAGGATCTGGGATCCCATGGAGTGGAAGGGTCCCAGAGCCTTGGCTCCAGCCTGAGCTCAGAAGTCTACACAACAAAGAAACAACCCCGCAGCCTGAGCCCCATAAGCCCGAGTTGGCTGGCATGGGCCAGCTGCGGGTTTTTCTTTGCAGTGTAGATGTACCCTAAGAGGCTGAAATATCACCTTTGTAGCTGATATTTAATAAGAATCTGTAATCAGGACTTTATTAAAATTTTATCACATCACTGGGTATTTAAGGCCTGTTTGATACACTGACATAGATTTAGCCCCAAACATTCATATCCATTTACAGGGTAACCCTTAGCTCAAGGGAGTTACATGGGTGATGAAGTTGATCTGTTAGGTTGATTCTGAAGCTGAAATTATAAAAACACACATGTGCCTGATGTGATACTAGATATAATTTTTTTAATGGTTGCCCAGTAATTCATTGTTAACTATTCAGCAGCAGCCCTCTGCATTTGGAAATTACCTTTCTCAGGGCAAACAATAATCCCTGTGCTGATAATGTTTATATGCAGGTTTACAGCAAAGCTACATGGAAGTTCTAAACCTTTCAATGACAGTCTTCAGTAAATCCCACTGGCACTTTAACAATTAATGGGGAAAAATGTTTGTTACACTCATAAAATTGGATTTTTGGAAGGTACTGCATAATTTTTTGGGTATACATTTAGAAATTGTTAGATTCTGGCATCAATCTAACAGTGTAACCACCACTGCCAAAATATCCAATAAGGAAAAAATATTGGTTTGAGGTGAACACATGAAAAACACCAAAACATGTGTGTGTGTAAGGATCTTGCTGTTACATCAATACACAAGAATTTATTCTAAGAACTGCCACTGACAATATTCCGGCTACAATCTGTCCCTTCCATATTTTTAAGAAAGGCAACAGTGAGGTAAAGAACCTCAGTTCCTTACTCCCATTGGGTGTTATCCAGCAGTCCACACAGAGATGAAACTGCTATGGAAGTCAGTGAGTTTTGCCTGGACATAGACTGCAAAGTTGAGATGTAGCAGGCAGAGGAGCAGTGAAGGGGAAGGGGCTGCCAATAGTACTTACCAAATGGATTTCCACTTCTTTTTCTGCTGAAGAATGGGACTCATTATTAGCGGGATTCTTTGGTGCAGCAAGTTCAGGTTTCTTTACTTTTGTATCAGATTTGCTTTCTTTGGCATCTGGATTAGTAACAGATCTGGCAGGACTTGGCTTCTGTGGAGTTGATATCCGTGAGAGTGCTGAAGGTGATGGGTTGACATCTTCATCCTCCTCCCTGAGCTCATGTGGAAGCAGTGCTGGATTCATTTTTACGTAGTAGCCATGGTAATGACCATGCAGTTCCCCATTCTCTGTGCTGATGGGATTGTGGTGGGCTGAAAACTTTGGCTGATGTTTCACCGCTATCTCCTCCTTTACGGGTACTTTTGAATACAGAGGCTTGTTGACCACGGCTGTTACAGTCTCACTAGCTAAACTCTTTTTTTCTTGAGTGAGTCTTGCCTTTGAGCTGGAGTTTTGTCTTTTCAATTGTTTGGTAGGGGAAGGCTCAGATGGAAGAGGAGAACTGTGCTTTGGGCTTGCTTCAGGTGTCCCAGGGGGTGTGGTGCCTTTTCGATAAAAATGCGGAGACTCTTTGGGGGAAGGTGCTTTTTCTTGAACCTTTTCTTCAGGGTTTTCTTTTACCTCCACACTTTCTTGAAATCGTTGTTTGATATAATCAGGGCCTGAAAAACAGTATAACAAAATCTTATCTCATTAAAACAAGAATAGGGCCAGGTGCCAAATCTGCCACACCGTGGGTATGGATCTGGTACGAAGCTGAAATTAAGGGGGAAAATAAAAACTCACTCATTTCTGGACTTTATATTATAATGCATTTGCTAATTAAAGTTGCTGCACCTTTTCCTCTCTGCTTGGCAATAATTTGGGCTATTCACTATTGGTTTGATCACTTTGCCTTCAACCTTGCAAAGGGACATAGAAAATACAGCAGATGGTCTCCAAATGAAACCATTGAAATCAATAGGAGTTAAGTGCCTAAATACCTTTCTGAATCTCACCCCCAAGTGGCTAACTTTTTATTTGTCGCATGCATACATCTGCCATTTTTTCTCTAATTGTTCATTTTTGTCTACCTACCATACATGGCCCTCATCACCATGATACCTGATTGTTATTTTGGTTGTTAAATACTTAGGAGGCAATCTCTCTCCTTATGCCTTAATAGTCTGTAGGAGACTGAGCTTGAATCTTTTATAAGTTTTCTGGTTTGATTATGAGTGGGTATTTGTGTGAGGGATTGCATTGTCTCTGTCTTTCGGTATGTCTTCATTGCAGAGTAGACCTGGGCTCTTACTCAGAAATTTCACCTAGCTCCTCTTACACAGACACAGACACAGACACACACACACCCATCTGAGGTTAGTGGTGCTTTCTAATCCTTTACAATAATAGCATCTGGTAAAGAATATTGTAACTTGTTGCTGCTGGGATCTGGGAATTAGTTTGCCACTAAAAGGCTGTGTCCCTGTGCAACAGAAACTCAGTGAAGTACGGACTTCCTAACACACAAATACAAAGTGATGGTCTCTCTCCCTCTTAAAGTTTTAATACTGATCTGTAGTAAGGTCTTATTATTAGTTTGTCATTATTTGTATAAAATATACTTCATTATATTTACAGTATTGTCTTCAAGGGTTCTAAAATTATGACAGTTTTAATAGTAACGAGATTTTTTAAAAAAAGCTAATTGTTTTCTTTGACTCCTTTTTTAGCCCTTAGGACATACTCTAGTCACATTTCCAAGCTTTTCTCCACAACCAGGAAGGCTGGAAATATACTTTAAACAAACACACACACACAAACAAAAAAAGAGCTGAGATTGTCACATAATCGCTTGATTCCAGAAGCTGATTTTAATGAAACACCAACTATCACAAAAATCACAAGAGTTGGCAGTATTACATTTAGCAATATTCTATGATGCATTATTCACAGCTAGTTAAAGCTAAAATGTAACTGAAAGAGTAATAAAGCCCACTCTGTAATGCAGGAGCTTGGTTTCTTTATTGCCTTTATTCACTAAGAGCAACATTCTGCTTAGTCTTTTACACAGGTTTGAAGTAAAAGGGGAGTGTGTAAGGGGCTTAAAAAGGCGGGGCAGCTCATGTTGGGAACTGGCAAAATTGTAGTCTCCGAACTCCAAGGAGTACAGGGACTTCTACATCCCTACTCCCTTGGGATACAGAGAACCCCAAGGAGGGAGAGAGGACATGGGGCCAAGGCCAAGGCCCTGCTCCTGCCTCCTCATCAGCCTGGAAGAGGGGCTAAAGCTGGAGGGGGGGCAGGGTGCACCCCATACAGATATGTAGCCTTCCCGTGTGCATTAGGATGGATAGGGATGAATTTAGTTTCCCTGAAGCATGATTCCTCCTGCGGTTTCCCAGGGGCAGCATGTCTCCTCAGTTCAGGGCTTTTGTGCTTCACAGGCATGTTCTGAACCCTTATCACTAAATACCCAAAATTCAGTCTCTTGCAGTGAATCTCCCAATCTCATTAGTGTAATTTAATGAGCATGTATTGTATTTTGTTATATTTATTTCTATATCTGAAGAGATATAATGAAAAATTAATCCTATTTTTTTGCCAGCTATAAAGGCAATTCCTCTCTTCAAGAAAGGTAATTAGTACAAATGACTCATTTTTGATGATAGAAAAATCCTGGCCTAATCAAGTCTCTGCCTTTGTGTCTCAACTGGAAAAAAGCAGTGTTTATTGTGATACAGTGTCTTCATTGTGAACAAGTTCATCTTCTGGTCCAGCTGTGCATGCTAACACATAAACCAGGTAACAGTTTGATGGTTTAATAATTAAAATGGCATGATAATATATTATTTTTAAATTACCTATTCCGCTAGTGTAATAGTACACTTTCAGTTGCTCTTAAAGAATGAATACACTACATCCTGGTGTATTCATTCTTTAAGTGATTTTTACTTCTATTTCTGTGTGACCTTGGGTAAGTCACAACTTTTCTTTGTCTCAGTTTGCCCACCTGTCAAAAGGGATAATTTAGTGGGCGCAACTGACTCGCCTGCTTGAAAACATCTTCCTTGTTCTGGAGCTATTCCCTGTTTTAAAATGGGAAATCCTGTTAGCACCAGTAAAATCTTTCCAACTGGGCACTCTTAACTATGTCTATGAATGTGCTCCCTCTTAGGAGTTACTGCCTGAAGCTTAACTCATTAGGGCTAGGGATTATGGATTCTCAGACTGGTGAATATGAAAAGAGGAGTTTTCTCTATGATTAAATGGAGAGGTGGGTATCCCAGTATGCAAAACATTGAGATCCCCATGCCAAACAGTGACAGTTGAGCTGGGTCATGCAGCATTTAGAGTCCAGATGACTAAATCAGATGCCTATTAGGCCTGTAGGTAAGAACATGCTGTTGAAGAAGCTCTACCAACTTTTTGAAGGGTGAAACATGCATCCTCCCCTATCAGACCAACTCCACTTGCTGGTGTTGAAGGAAGTGGGTCTGTGGCTCTGCTCTCAGCTCACCCCTTTTAGCTCCCCTTCTGGAGGCTAGCTATACCAACAGTGCTAACGAATGCTCTAATGTGGCTGGCTCCCTACACAAGATATGCTCCTTGTGTCCTTTTTCTCTACTTGCATTCCTATGCAGGCCCAGCCACAATCCTTAATATTTTATCCTTAAGTGGTTTGGGTGGGAGGTCTACAAAACTACAAAGTAGTATTATCATTACATACTGTACACAGAAATGCTGGTTTGAGAGTCACCTGGCATTACCTAAGAGACTAATTGGATAATAATAATTGGAATAATGGTGACTAAAATATAAAGATTCATGTACTGTTTACTCTAGAGACTAGTTTTGAACTGTGTTTGCTCTTCAGTAGAGAAGGGAATCTAAGCTCTCGTCTACACTACTCGCCGGATCGGCGGGTAGCGATTGATCTATCGGGGATCGATTTATCGCGTGTAGTGTAGACGTGATAAATCGATCCCCGATCGCTCTTCCGTCGACTGCTGAACTCCAGCAGTGCAAGAGGCTGAAGCAAAGTCAACGGGGGAGCCGCGGCCATCGATCCCGCGCCGCGAAGTAAGTAATTTTAATTCCATCTAAGATACGTCGACTTCAGCTACGCTATTCTCATAGCTGAAGTTGCGTATCTTAGATCGATTTCCCCCTCCCCAGCGTAGACCAGGCCTAAAGCATGACAAACAAAACACACCTGTATATACAGTAAACATTGTTCAGTCTTTCCTTCTGTATAGACTTATATTAAATTTAAAAAATATTTAAAGGTCCTGTTCAAAGAGAAGCACTGTACAAATAATTTTCTAGAAAAAAGGCACCACTTTAAAACCTGGAGAAACCTAGCGTGGAAGAATTAAAATGGTGCAATTTTATATAAGCAGGGTTTTGTAGAAAAAGAAAAGATGGCAACTCTCTATACAGAATCTAATGTCATTCAAAGTACAGTACATGATGACAGTACATAATTCAATTTCAGAGTATTTCAGTGGTAATTATCAAGCAAACACTTATTCCTGTCTTAAACCGGAGTGCGTAATTATGTAACATCCCCTAACTTATTTTATTTCTATATAACTGATTAACTAATAATAATGATAGTTGCTTTTGGACCCAGTAGATTTAATTCCTAGGTAATGAATGACATTTCTGTTCACTTTAATGATAATAAGTGTAATTATATTGTGTTAAGGCTAAATTCTGCCCTGAGATGTCCACACAATGCTCCCAGAATTTGGTTCCAATCCTCACCCCAAACTGTCAGAGGTGTAATGATGACATTATCAGATCCATTGCTCACTGAAGTCAGTGCAGTGCCTAAGTGAAGAAAATATTGCTAATATTTGTATTACATCCATGCTTAAAGTGCACAACCAAGATTGGTGCCCCACTCTGCTAAGCAGTGGTTGTATCCATAGTAAGAGAGACACTGAAGAGCTTCAGAGGGTCCTGTGGCATCTTTGAGACTAACAGAAGTATTGGGAGCATAAGCTTTCGTGGGTAAGAACCTCACTTCTTGCATCTGAAGAAGTGAGGTTCTTACCCACGAACGCTTATGCTCCCAATACTTCTGTTAGTCTCAAAGGTGCCACAGGACCCTCTGTTGCTTTTCACAGATTCAGACTAACACGGCTACCCCTCTGATACTTGACTGAAGAGCTCACAATCCTATTATACAAGACAGAAAAAAGGCAGCAAAAGGAAATATCAAATCCCCATTTTACAGATGAGGAACTGAGGCACAGAGAGATCATGGCCTCAGTTTAGCAAAGCACTTAAGCACATGCTGAACTGAATAGTCCCACTGAACTCAATAGTCAGTTGTCAATGGAACTGTGCATGTGCTCAAGAGCTCTGCTATATCATGGGCTAAGTGATAGCCCAAGGTCACAAAGAGTGTCTTGGGCAGAACAGGAATTGAACTTGCATCTCCTGAATCCCAGTCCAATGTCTGAATAACTAAAAGGCCATTCTCCAGTTTGGCCCTCAGAAACAAAACAGATACACTGATATGTCATACCACTGTGGATTAGTTGAGAGTTACATTTAGTGAATTAAAAAGTAATTACTACATTCATTCTGGTCTGGAAGACAGAAATACTAAATAATTATCAAGTAAATACACAGGTCTTTACTGTGTTGTACTCTGGAGCAAAGCAAGAGC